TTGTCAGTCTAACTTAAACTACAGTATGACATTTCAGTGTGGTGGCACTATAAAAGTGTTGTCAGTGACCCCATCATCCATGAACACTATCGTCACATTGTAACTTTGAGCATATCATATTATCATGCTGCAATTACGATGTCGTCAGCGTGAATATAGTGTAATGGATGTATTTACAGGTCTAGTAAATGGATTTTATTCAAAATCCTCTCTCCGGTCATAATGGAGCCAATATTATGTGTACGGTTTTAGATGACCGCATTTAGGCTAGTCGTCCGTACAAACAAATCCTATGCTATTGCGGCCATATTGCCGTTTTTTTTTTTTTTTTTTTTTTGTCTCCCAGGAAAACATTTATAAGCGATTTTCCTAACTCTATAAACACAGATATTGATTTCCCGACATTGTGCTTCCAATGCTTCCTGTAGCCAACAAAAAAATGCCACATGCACGAGATCGTCTGAACAATTTGAATTGTCATATACAATCGTATGACAATACCTCATTAACATAGGTACACATTCAACTGAAAATTGAATAAAAGATACCTGCAAATTTACGTCATTGTTATATTCAACCTCATGTTCCAAATCGCATACTATGGCACCATTTTAAGCGTCAAACGTTTAGATGATCTGATGCCGACTCACGGAAGTCGACGGCAACTGGAGTGATCTTTTCTTTTGGTTTAAACTAAATGTGCTTTCAAAGTTTGGAAACTGCTTGTCAGAGCCACAAGACACGTATATGCGTGAGCTGCTCTCCACCAGTTTCTCAAATTCCCTCTCTAGATCTTTTCTTTTACACATCACACAGCGTCCAATAGTAAAGGCATTTTTTAGGTCAGAGATTTCCATCAAAATATATGTACATGTACGTAATATTAATCGTCATTGGATTGATTCGAAAGTTAGTAAAAGAGAAAAAAATATTGATTTCTTTTCTTCCTTTTAATTGACAAGCTAAGTTTATTATATAGAATTGTTCAACTGATACAATAACAACTTTGAAATTCAAAACACAATTTAAACTCTCGATCAGAATCTAACAGAGAATTACAATAAAAATTACCAATAGTGAATTTTAAAGTAATACGTGTCCCCTGGAGTGAAGCGCTGCTCTCTATGATCAGTGATTAATTTGTTTTATGTATGCTCTCATACACATGTACAAACATGTATATAATGCAGACAAACAAACATGGGGGGAAATCGTGTTGAACATCGTCAATATAATTTTCTAGTATTTTGGGCCATTTTTGATACATTTGTACTACAGTCAAACTTCGGTATTTCGAACTTCAAGGGACCAAGTCAAAAAGTTCGATATAGCGGGACTTCAATATGTGAATATTGATGTAATTCAAAACTTAACGGTGTTAATAATACACACGAAAATCTAATACACAGAAAACAATACCTACTATTTTTTATCTTTTGATATACCCTCGAGATTGCTTAAATAGTCTTTTGAAAAAGTAAGGACACGCCAATGTGTTTAAGAAATTATCATGACACCTCTTCAAAGGGGAAAAACGCTTTAGTCACTTTTTATATCAAGTTGATATTATCATGCGTTCAAAAGCAAAGGTCGCCATTTGAACACGCGGTCCGATTTTACCGCGGTCAGACCGTTCTGAACGTACATGTCACTGTATTCAGAAATGTAAAACGTAGAGTGAGAAGAAAAAGCTTCATATAACCATTGTTAATCGGCCTTGCTAACTTTTAAAACGGAAGAAACTGTTTTATTTTTGTGCTGGCCTTTTTGAGTAAGTAATCTATCGGAAGTGGACTGTATCCATGAGTTACGTCACGACCAAAAAGCGTACCCATAAAAGGTAGAAGTTTTCATTGAAGTAAAATGTCATGGGCATTACAAGTCACATCGAACATCTATAGATGGTTGAGCAGTCTAAAGTTTTACAAAAGGATATCAGAAGTGTTCCAATTTTAATGTCTCCGTTTTAGGTATTTTTTGTTCTCGTATGCTGAGCTGGTTTGGTGTGTATCGTAAAATATGTAATACTCTACTTTTTTCAATATTCCAATTTAGCGATAAAACAATGTTAATCTTGGTACGGATTGAGGGTGTCACACTAGTCACCACCTCCAATTAGTTCTGTAACAATGTTGATCTTGGTACGGATTGAGGGTGTCACACGAATTTTGTAGCAATGTTAGCTAGACTGTCTGGCAACATCGGTTACAAAAAAAGCAATGTTGGTTCTGGAAAAGATATTTCACCCAAGCGGTGACAGTTGAACAGTACATTATGATATTATTTTTATAACACGCCCGACAGGAAGGGCCAGCTGATGTTGCTCGTTGTTTTTAGGGATGATAGCCGACAAGCATCAATCCAAATGGTCTATAATTGTGATGTATGGTTGGTAGAAATGCTTAGAAGAAGCCCGACAAAGTTTGCATAAAGAAATAAAGTTGACCGATGCTGAATATCAACAATGTGATCGGTAGACATATTCTGCTGGAGGCCTTCGGAAGTAACTTCAGTGTGATAGCACTTTAAAGTCGGTTCCAGTTCGGCATTATCACAAGGGGGCTTACACGTACATACCCTGAACTTTCATACCCCGGGAAGCCGTCCCTAAATGATCTTGATTGTTGATGGAACGTGAAATAATATAAATCAAACAAAACCAAGTATTCAAAGTCACAGTAGAATATCATGTTATGGAAAAATATCGAAATGAGCATTAACAATTGTTTTATCAACAATAGATATAGCAATTGTTACTGCTCAACATTAATATCAGTATAAATAAGCTTACCCATATTGATTTAATGGGCGATAACTCTGACTATGTATCGCTCAGCCAGGTTACAAGGTAACATACATCCTTAATACAGATACAAAGTTGCTACGCTAGATGATGTACAAATAACCCGGTATATTTTAACGTGGCATGTTTATTCATGTGGTAGAGCTGTGACCTGTGGGCAAGATCAACTCTACTGGAATATCCTAAGGCTTCGTTTACTGACCGGGCCTCGAGCCAAAATGTCTTACACATCTGTATCAATATGGCGAGTTTTCTGACCAGTGACCTCGAGGTATGACACTCCGTAATAACAAGTTCTATATCATCATTTTGTTTATAAACAAATGAGTAAACACGATGTTGTTTTTACTCTTGTAAATATGAAGATGCCATTTATATTGTAACACAACAGATACATAGAATTAATTATTAACCGATATGATATACTGCATTACATCAGTACTGACACGACAAAGATTTGCTTCACATATTCTCATTTCTGAACCAAGTAACGCATGATTGAATAACTAATAGATCTAATTAAGGAAAACTATTGAACGATGTCATCGTATTTTGTTTACTAGAATTTTTCCGTAAAGGAGGCAAATTTTATCTGCAGTACATGAAGAAGCTTTTAATCTTAAAATAAACCAAACTTACAAGCCTTACGTTAAAGAAAGTTTATCATTCAACGACAGATGTGATTTGTTAAACCGTTTTGTTTATCTCTGAAACTATCCCTGCAATGTCGAGTATAGATACTTTGGCCGGAGATGACCGTTGAACGGTCAGAAGATAAGACGGATGTCCGACACAAATACAAACCTACTTCATCTATAGTTTACAGTGTAAGCCACTCTAGTTCATTCAGAAAGGCTTTCCATCAGATGTAAGTGAAACATTTATTTCTTAAAATTTGTTTAAGAGCAATTGAGATATTTCTGTAAGGGGACACGGTATACTGCAGTAAGAGTGCTCGAGACACTGCTGTTAAGAACTCGATCTATCGCTGTTAGAGAACTCGAGCTACTGCTGTTAGAGGACTCGATCTATCGCTGTAAGAGGACTCGAAATACAGCTGTAAGAGAACTCGATATACTGCAGTCAGAGAACTCGATACACTGCAGTAAGAAAACTCGATATACTGCAATAAGAGAACTCGATATACTGCAGTAAGAGAACTCGCGATACTGCTGTAATAGAAGTCGGGATACTGCAGTAAGAGAACTCGATATACTGCAGTAGGAGAACTTGAGATACTGTTGTAAGAGAGATCGAGCTACTGCTGTAGAATGACTTGAGATGCTGCAGTAAGACGACTTGAGATGCTGCAGTAAGAGAACTCGATATACTGCAGTAAGAGAACCCGAGATCCTGCAGTAAGAGACCTCGAGATACTGCTGTAGAAGGACTTGGGATACTGCTGTAATAGAAGCTTTACTGACAACCTAGAACTGGATAATATTATGTAGCGTATCCGTATAGACAGGTTTGATGTTATCGTTAAAGACAGGTTCTACAATCTGTTTGATAAAAATATCAGCTATACCATACATTAATTCGTGTGAGAAACTGATCTGCCCATGAAGATAACTATTTCGTTTAATTACAATGTATATTTCCATTTTTGACATCTTGGCGCATCCATCCTGTAATGCAGCTTAGGACATGAACTTAAATAATTTGTTAAAAGCTTGGTCTTATTTTCAGCGGTCGGACAGGCCTGATGTTTGAGAGGAAACTATTTACTATCCGTATACAATTACTCTGTGATGTGTGTATAATAGGCCTAATTTCTTTACACGCCCATATGGAACATCAATTTTGAATAGTGAAGTTTCAGCTGAACGTGACATTGTTAGTGTACGAAGTTTATAATTACGTTCAGGTAAGACGATGTCACCGGGAAATTAGAACGTCTTACCGTTGGTGGACATTAAAAAACGTTTATTGGAGATTGGTTTTGGTAGTACTGATCATAAGGTAATGGTAAAGAATATTCAAAACTTTAAAGAAAAGTACAGAAAGGAGATTATTTTTACCCTCGAGGACTCTTAACTTTCTTTCACAACAAAATTCATTACACATTGAATAAAAATAAAGAAAAATAAGCGTGAGGTTTTAGTTTTAATTTCCGTAAGTGATTACTAATGCGGAAGTACATGCGTCCAGCACATAGATACACAAGTCTATATCACAAACACAAGACTACACCTACCTTGTACTAGGAATGATAAAAGAAGTACCCGGAGCATCATTCCATCATGTACCTCCACACCAAAGAGCTCCATTCTGATGTTACCTCTTCCAAGGGTATCGAGACATACGTCAACTCTCCCCTTAAATTGTCACTGCAACCCGCCGGTCACTGAGACGTAGTCTATCGATCGTTACGGTTTACTGATCCAGACTCATTGTTATATATATATACATGCGTAGATGTTGATACGCAGTCATCTCTGCTGGTATAGGCGGGGTGTGTAGATACAAAATTACGTTAAATGTTCTGTAATTTTGATTACATAAATACTTTCCAAAATTATATTTACAAAGTTATGCTTTTTAAAAAATAGAGAAACTAATGTCTGCAATGAATATGAATGTTATCAGTGATGTTCCAAACAATTGCGTGGCATGGCGACATTTTTAAGAGTGAAACATGTTTACGTTGTTTTCAAAATAGCGGTTCTGCTATTAGACCAACTGTTTGAATAGCGTTGAACAGGAAAAGTACTTGAATCGGTTTGCTAAAAAATTTAATTGAATATACATTTTCCATACGATTATTACATGTTTTCACTCTACTCAACATATCATTGGTTTGTAAGTTTAGTAGTGGTTGCCATTCTGAATGTTGCATACCTTCAGTATCCAAATCTTGTAACGGAAACCGCGGTTCTCACTTTGAGAATGTGGCAATACATGAAAGTTTACCTTTATTTATATGACGAATGCCATTATCAAAGCGGAAGCTGCTAACCCTTCTGAGACACTGATATTTGTATTGTAATATATCCTTGCGAGTATTGTGATATTATTCTCTTCATATTTTACCCACGTTTCATTGGGTTTGATGATGTCAGTATGTTCTCGGTATTCCGAGTTGTTCAGGCCGTTCCCAAGCGCGAGTTTCTCTGTAGATTGCGCCTAGATTCTTTAGACTACTGCACGCCTGAACTAAGCTCGTATCATGGACGAGAAACACTACTATAACATTTTGTAATAACACATTTTTACTGTGCGACTTTCAAGAACATTTACCGCGCCGGAACAGCCGTTCTGGGTGAGTAACATTATGTACCTATATACATATTTTAACACACAGCTTGTTTCCAACGCATTGGTTTCACTAGCTACATGTAAACCACTGTATACTAATTTCTAAAGAAAAGGTTACTGAAAAAACAGGGATCCCAGAAACTTCACAATATTGATAAATTGCACGCTGGTGGAGCACATACAAACAAAACATGCAATGCAACTCGAAAATCTGTCCAATGTATCTCACTGTGCATTGTGGCTTCATTTGCGCGATAAAAAGTCTTTGTTGTAATCATGATGGTGTTCTTACCTTGTAAGAAGTCAGATACAAACGGGATGACATTAATACAGGTAAACACGGTTTCTAAACATAATTGGTCGTGTTAATATGAACATGTTGAATGGTCGACCATCAAAACATATCAACTCTAAAATCATGTCGCATTATTACAATTTCTTGTTTTGTACAGTAATAATATTCAACGTCAGTTAAAATGTCAATTTCGAAGGCTTTACTTTACTTTGAAGATATTATCTCGCTAATAGCTGACATTATCTAACCTGATCTGACATTTCTTAGCTATAGAACAATGTCAGTTTTGTAAGATTTGCGTCATTTGGTGTAAACACCGTGTTTTTACCTATAATTGCTATATTGTATACTCAGGAGCTTACCACGAAGGATATCGGACACTTATTTTCTACAGATTACAGAAAAGATTTCAACTTTTGTGACCAAAGCATGAAAGGACATCCAATATCGATCTTTTGCAGCACCAGTGATATATTGTTTTAACGTTAATTTAATGAAAGTTTATCTGCTACTGGGGATATGTATTTTAGTATGTTGTTTCGGACGTTCGCTGAAACGGAAAAAAAAGCTTAAAGTCCCAATATACGTAACATTCACCAAAACTTTAGTGTAGAATCACACATAATTATTGAGATATTCTCTAAGATGTTGTTAAAATTAAGTTATTCAAACAATAGTTACCATGACTTTCTGCATAAAGTATTGATATATGAGCAGTTGAAACTCGCTATTTGTAAACACACCTCCATTTTAAACACGCCGCCATCGAAATTACGATTGTTGCCGAACGACGTCGGAAAGTTCGTGACCTGATAGAGGAAGCACATGCAGATATGTCTACGGTAAGTTTTTGTTTACAAACATTGTTTGCGAAGTCTTGTCGTAGACTTGAGGTATTCCTGTGATAAACATTCAGTTTTTGGGAAATTATTAGAAGGAATATTTAGTTTAGAAACGATACGACGCACAATTATAACGCAAGAATTCAGAACTGGCCTGATGTATGATTGGAAAAAGGAAGCGACTGGTGAACGTCTGTACTATAACTGCCATGTTTACACACGCGGAATATGCGTATGCGCAATGTTATCGCTACGAGCGGTGATGTATGAATTATTGTGGGTCCCACATTGTTTATTTTCCGATTTTTTCAATTTTTATTTAAATTGAAAACAGTCAGTTTTATTTTCTAAAGGAATATAATATTAAAGGAAAGTATTTGTTTTGTTGCATATATTACGGGGAAAATAAGATAAAATTTGTTTTTTATAGTGATTTTTACGTATATTGGGGCTTTAAACATTTAAAACATTTCAAAAGCAGCTACTGTTACTTAAAGACAGCCTTCTACCGAACTGTATGATGAACGTGATTTCCTTTTCTAGAAAGCTTCCAAAACCTTTGGTGTTTTCACCTTGCTTCTGGTTGAATACATGTAGTAAGGGGCTTGTTCCCAGTGTCATGATTTCTGTGCACGATGTTGACAGATCACAGGTAGATTTACAACACCAATCAAACCATTAAATGCAAGAAATTTATAGACGACAACAAAACAGATTCCGTAGGTATTGCAGACTATTCGAGTATAGGCCATTTACAATGGGTATGCAAACTATATTCAAATCTGATGATTCTCCACCTCCTACCTTCCCTCCCCTTCATGAAGGTGATCCTACTTTACAAGAAAGTGTGCTCTGACAAAATGTAATTTTCTAATCTGTATTTTATTCCCTGTCATGAACACATGTTTTAAAGAATAATTCCCGTGACGTCGTCGACATATCAATCTTTATCCACATTTTTCCTTCCGCGTTGTACAGATACTGTAAACGTACACATTTTAGCAGTAAAAATATTTTAGCGTTTTTCGCATTGGAAATATTGCATTAAAAATATGATTGCGCTAATTACAGTTTCTGCATTTTGTATATACATTGTATCGCAATAAGTGCATCTCCATTGTTAAACCTCTGGAAAACCAGGCAGAATTAGACCAGTCCTCTTAACGGTATATGTCATTATTATGTATTAGTAAGTTAAATATTGAAAATACAGTTTTAGCTGCCACTATCATCCTTAACGTTTTGGAATTCAAAAACATAACTGATACAGTAAAGCTTTAATTAACACGAATTGGCTTTTGTTTTTATTTTCGTTTAATCTTATCTTATAGCTACACGGATAAAAAAATATCACTTAATATATGTGACCTTGGTAAATACTAGACGCAATATACCGCTCGGTTAGGGAGAACTTCTCTTTAACTCGATCGGTTGAGCGTCAGACTTGTAAATCAGCAGCTCCGGGTTCGAGCTCGATCGGTTGAGCGTCCGACTAGTAAATGAGAAGTCCCGGGTTCGAATCCTGATATAGGCAGTGAAATAACTAATGACCTCTGATACATATACTTTTAATTTCAGACAGTACAATTTGACGTACACGCTCTCTCTAAACCTCTCAAAAAGAATTATTGATTCGTGTATTTCAATTAGATAATACTCTCAATGATGCTATCACCCCGCCCCTATTATATACATGTAACCATTTATCTCGAATTTCACCAAATCAATAAAAATAATTCAGTCCTTTCTAACAATAAACATTACTTTAATGTTTGTCATGCAGTTTGAAAAGTGGTAAAAGTTAAGTCACAGTTACCTTCTACATGTACAATGGTTCAGATTATAGTTGAGAAACAGACCGCATTCGTACCACATATTGGACTAGGAATCTAATAACGTGTATTTCAGTTCTATATCAACTGTACAATATACGTAAAGTAGATCCCCGAGAGAAAGGGTAACAAATTACTGTCATATCCATGGAGTCTATCTATTTTTATTTAAATCAAGGTTTTAATTTAAATCGTATTTGTGATGATGTCTGGGAAATATCACGGGTATTTTTCCCTGGTTATCAGTCACAGGGCCAAGTGGATCGACCTTAGCTGGGTGTCTTCATCAATCCTACTATAGTGATATTGTCTGCGATTTGTTATTTTTTCATTCCATCGATATATAATCCCCATTGATTCAGGAACAAGGCATAAGGGATAGGCAGTGTGCAGTCCTCAACAGAGTTAATGTGATATTTAAAAGTCCCATTCCAATGCATGGTTAAAGCATTAGGGACACGACTAATGAAATGCCAAATGAAGGGTTAAGGGTTAAAGGTTAAAGGTTATAACCAGGAACTTGTAGAATGATGGCCATAGGTCGAGACCACGTGTTGGTTTTGGGATGTGGTGGGATGGATGGGGTAGTGACATTTCAGTGTGTTTGCCGAAAGAATGGTAGTAAAAACTTGTAGATGTTGTTGTTTACTCTCATTTTGGAACGTGACAATTACCTCACCTGACCAAGATTTACTGGATGAGTGTCGTCGATGAAGCAGAAGACACCGACCCTTCCCTATTTTCCTGGTATTTTTTATGAGATTCCCGTATAAATCTTGCATTTTTTGTGTTTGTTCTGGTTTCATCAAATTTGATTTCAATTATAATTCTGTTGACTGTTGGTATTTTCTTTTTTATGCCTCGTAATCTCAATGTTTGACGTAAATGTAAGCGTTACTTGTAACAGGCTTGTGATGTTAGGCTTAGATTGTAAGGCCAAACAAAATCTAAATATATACAACTATATGGTTTACTATACATCTCAGACATTCAATTGTAGAATGTTGTAGTAATTGGGTTAAGTGGTAATTGGCGCTCTTATCGTCAAATCACACAATAGAATTTCTTAGCGCACTTATACACGATTGTAGTTGGCGCACTATTCTTTGTGTACCACCGAAGCCCGTTTG